CCGTGCTGAAACTTCGCCCAGGCGGAGTAACAAGCCATGCGGGGAGCGCAGAGGTGAACACTCTTCCCAACGTCGGGGTCGGTGCGTCAGATGGTCGGGCAATCATCACGCCAACATCCAACGCACGTGATGAAATTGCAGTAATTATCGATTCGAATGTCGGCCATCAAGCAATGATCACACCAAGTGCGACGATTCCGGATGAAGGGGAGAGCCGTAAATGTTCATAGGTATGCGGTAGCATGGCTACTGCATCCTAAAAATACCGCAACCCCTTGTACAACAACCGCCCGTGTCTGTTTTTTTGTCTCTGATGATGGATGCGAGTAGGAATCCGAAACGTCAGGCTAATAAGGCTGTTGTCCCGGCGATCGTGTCTCTTTCTTCAAGCCTACTTCCTGAGACTCGTCTCTTCGCTTATACTATCAGCTTGTTTTTCAGACTGAAGATTTTGGACGAAGGACACGCTTACTTGGCCGATCCGATTATTGGTGTCGCCTTAACTTTTTCCACTTATCAGAATAATTAAACCAGCATCATAGAATACGCCCACTAACTCGAGCATTTCGCCGTCTACCGTTATCGGAGGCGAATTTCCAACTGTCAAGCACAACGAAGCCTCCTTCTTTGGGAAGAGGTTGGCTTTAAGGCCTCTCAGGTGTTAAAGAGCTCAGTATAATACGCAAATAAGTTTCTTTGGAGAATGCAACCCCAGCCCGCGGTAGAAGTAACGTCAAGGAAGTCATTATCATTGCCATGCAGGTGGAGTTTAGTCTTTTTCTACAACAGTAAACTGGAATCAGGTGAATTAATTTTGTGGCATGCATTGTGCTGTCAAAAGCAGGGAGGAATTCAACAAAGCGGGTAAGAGTGGGTTGTTGGTGAGAATAACGTTCTATGTGAGTTCGATGATGTGAGAAATGTCCCCCCAAAACATCCCTGATCCCGCTAAAAAAACTGCATCGATTTTTCTTGTCAGCTGATTACGGCAAAGTTGGAAACGATTGAGGATGACAACTGAGGGTAATAAGAATGGATGTAATAGAAACCTGTCGTCGCGATAGTTATTGCACAACTACTTATCGCCATGCTGAAGACCGGCATAACGACGCTGCCGCTCCAGTGTGAGGACTCGGTCTTAATTTCCGAAACTCGAGTTTAAAGGTCGCGTTATCAATCGACCACTGTCGAAAACAGCACTTTTATATCTCTACTCAAAGGCAGACCTCGCTATGTGCCTTATCGTTCCTCAGTTTTCCCATTATCTCAAGGATTTCCAAAGTAGATGCTGGGTTTGCGATCCTGGCCATGCCTGGTCGCGAGACCTCTTTCTGCATGCCACCAGTTAGGAGCTTTGGAGCTAGACCAAGAACAACGGTATATTGACAATAGCACAAGGAAGAGGGCGCAAGTATAGTTTCCGGTGACAACGGTTAACAGCTCATAAGTGAATTTTTTATGATCGTTCACAGCGACATCATGGCAATCAAAACAGTCAGTAAACCATTTTGTGAAGGTCATGAAATGCCTTGCTGCCCGACATATGAAGTCTGAGCTTTCAAAACAATCTTAAAGAGGCAGCCCGTACCAACATTTTACGACGGGAACGTGTAAATGGTTAGGCTTTAGGTTGCCACCGAACGAAGGGTTCTCATGTTGTAGATTTCAAGGCGCAGTTTTTCTTTCCAAATAGGCCTTCCTGCAGACTTAACCTCCGATTCAATGACCGCGATTTAGATTAATCCAGTGTTAAAGAAACTGTAACATGAGTAAGGATTAACTCTGAAGATGCTCACATGAATGCAGACAGATACTCGACATGCAAGTCCCCATATGAGTAATAAACTGGAGACTGGCTGAGCATTGGAATCATTTTCCCGTTCCAGAACTTCCAAACTTGTTTAGGAGCCCAGCGTCAGAGATAAAAACAGCAACAGAACAAGCAAAGTTATAAGGAGCATTAACGAATTGACTAACAGCACCGCAGGTTTGGAGGTGACTGCTCAGGTTACTATGTACCGGCGTCAGATTAACTGAGTACTCATCCGAGTCACAGTCCTTCATTAATGCTCGGTTTGTCATGCTTGTGGCATGGGTAACTATCTTGACGGCCGCAAAGTCAACCTCTGTGTCCGTTTCGAAGATGGGGACAACCAGTTGCGAGTATTCGTCATCTAATCACAGAACAAGTTTATGTTCGTGCATGCATGATTTCAGCATGCTTAACATCTGTCCTGTGTAATTATATAGATAGTTTAGGCAAGGAGTTGGACTATACTACACCAGACTGCTCACTAGGGTTTAATCGGTCCTTAATTTTCACGACCCTGTACATGGTAGCTCTGGACCAGTATGCAATTCCAACACCTGATCCCTCCTTGGCGTATGGCATGCCATGCCATATCGTCGGTGGCGTTTCTGTTTGGGTCCTCCGGCAGCGGACACGTAGACATGGACTTATAAGGGCTTTCAGATAGTCATCTCGCATAAATTAGTCGTAGAGACGTCGGGCCCCGCGTACCTTTTCTTCCAAGTTGCTGCAGTACGTCCGAATCCGCTTGAAGAGCGTTATCACACAGTTTTGTCTTTGAATCACCGAACGGTTGCTGTGAGAACTGGGGCGCTGCGTGGTGTTCGTCGTCCTCCTGTAAATCGTCGTCTCAATTTTACGTTAGGGCTTTGCGTGATGAGCTGCTTTATTGAATTCTGTGTTTTGATTGAACGATTCAGCCGACAACAACTACTTCACTTGATTCAAGCGTACTCTCGTGCAACACGGGCTACAGTTCGTGTAAAACTTAACGCATGCTCGAATCATGCATGCACGAACATAAACTTGTTCTGTGATTAGATGACGAATACTCGCAACTGGTTGTTCCCATCTTCGAAACGGACACAGGGGTTGACTTTGCGGCCTCCAAGATAGTTACCCATGCCACAAGCATGACAAACCGAGCATTAATGAAGGACTGTGACTCGGATGAGTACTCAGTTAATCTGACGCCGGTACATAGTAACCTGAGCAGCCACCTCCAAACCTGCGGTGCTGTTTGTCAATTCGTTAATGCTCCTTATAACTTTGCTTGTTCTGTTGCTGTTTTTATCTCTGACGCTGGGCTCCTAAACAAGTTTGGAAGTTCTGGAACGGGGAAAATGATTCTAATGCTCGACAAGCCTCCATTTTTTACTCAAACGTACATGGGATGGTGCCTCAGATGTTTGGTCCAAGATTGGTTCCTTTATCTCCAGCTCGGTCTCTGGATGGTTGTTAACTACGCAAGAGAGCGGTAGCGGGAAGAACGTATTTAAAATTGCTTCGCGTCGTAGTGTTGTCCGCGAACTCAGTGGTATTTTGTAGGTCAGTCGATTTGTCTGACCACGATCCGCTCCATCTTGTTTCCACTGCTGGTGGTGGAACGCAGCACCATATCTGTCGGACGTACAATGGGTAGCTAAACTCCTTAAACATTAACAGTTTGAATTCGAAAGGATTAATCTTAAGTGATATTACAGAACCGACTGAAGTGCAAACTAGACCCAAGACGTTTCATGCGCAATAGAACGTTGGCTTTCCAAATACCACTTATAAACAGCATACTTGTGAAAAAATCCCTGCACACCTAGTGTGTCTGTTCTATTGCCGTTCAAAACCTGTAAAACATAGTGCCAACTAATGGGGGTGACGCAAAGAACTTAATTTTACCAAATTTTTATGGGAAATGGGCTGTATTTTGGATCTTCCACTTGAACTAAAGGCTGCTTGTCGACCTTACAAAAACTAGTACATTTGGAACATTTAGGACGACAGAATAAGTTTTCGTGAGGCTTAGGACCTTTGAGTACAGTAATTCTCAATTTGGTGCACACAAAATTATATCTATGTATATGAAAACCTTGAGTGTACCAAGAGACCTCTTCGGAGGATCATAAAGATGTATGTGATTTAAACTGAGACAATTATGTAGAAATGATGGACCAGGCAAAATTCGGCCTCGCGACAAAAGGAGCGAGGTATGAGTACAGCAAACGCATTAACCGTTTACGACGGAAGATCCCGTCAGAAATCCCAAACGTTTTCAAGCATGACCCTAAACACTCGCCCAGACCACTGCCAATGCCAATGAATCAGGCACATTCATAATAATTTCTCCGAATTTTTCCAACATTTAAAAGTTAAGTCAATTAAGTCATGCGAATCTGTCTAAAACGCATATTAAAAAAGTGTGTCTAGTAGTTGTCCGGTAGATTCTGGATTGCTTGACTTGGAAAACCCGCAGAATTAAAATCGGTGAATTCCATACGTTACAGTATGTTGGGTAAGTCATTTGGACCGAAGTCTGTCGATCGGGGCTTCGTTACTCAAGTGGTCAGAACATTGGTTGTACGTGGACCTTACCCTTGTTGTTGTGAGTTCGAATCCCCTCAGCATTGCCGA